CGTTTGCCCACTGACGAAGAAATGATCAGTCTATGATTTTAGTGGTAGGTTTATTTGAACAGTGAGATACAGAATAACAACAAAAAATCCAGAAAAAACGCATGTCAAAATGTTATAAATTGATTTACATTTTAATGAGGGAAATAAGTATTTGACCCCCTCTCAATCAGAAAGATTTCTGGCTCCTATGTGTCTTTTATACAGGTAAAGAGCTGAGATTAGGAGCACACTCCTAAAGGGAGTGCTCCTAATCTCAGCTTGTTATCTGTATAAAAGACACCTGTCCACAGAAGCAATCAATCAATCAGATTCCAAGCTCTCCACCATGGCCAAGACCAAAGAGCTCTCCAAGGATGTCAGAGACACGATTGTAGACCTACACAAGGCTGGAATGGGCTACAAGACCATTGCCAAGCAGCTACAATGCCAAGCAGCAACAATGGATTCACAAAGGGCGGGACATGCACATGACTGTACACGTCTGTTAATCATACAATTGCAAAGATTGTAGATGCATATTTAAACTGTGAATGGACAATACGTACATTTCTGACTAATTTATTTTATTAGAAGCAAAGAACCAACTAAAATATAAAAACACAGTTTTATTTCGTTATACTAAGGGTGACCTTTAACAATCTTATAACATGAATAGACATGTGGTGCCAAAAGCAAAACAAGCATAGATTTAATCATCAAATGCTTCGAAAATAAAAAAAAACATTTACAAACTATGAAACAGTAACAGTAAGATAACATGTAAGTACCAAAATACACATTGAAATATAGATCAAATAAAGTGGGTTTATTATTTCACCGCTGATTAGCACGGTTTGGCTGCGTACGGTGCGAAAGAAGTTAAACACCCGTACGTACAAGGTGACATGCTTTTTTCCTACTTATTCGCGGACATATTAAAAGGTATATTTTGAAATATTATATTCTCACTCCGCGTCAATCGTAGTAAGAAACACACATTCTTACCTTGACAATAGACAGAAAAAAATAATAATAAGTTCAATGCTGCTCTACAAGACCATTGTCAAGCAGCTTGGTGAGAAGGTGACAACAGTTGATGCGATTATTCGCAAATGGCATGACAATGACCCAAAACACACGGCCAAGGCAACAAAGGAGTGGCTCAAGAAGAAGCACATTAAGGTCCTGGAGTGGCCTAGCCAGTCTCCAGACCTTAATCCCATAGAAAATTTGTAGAGGGAGCTGAAGGTTCGAGTTGCCAAACGTCAGCCTCGAAACCTTAATGACTTGGAGAAGATCTGCAAAGAGGAGTGGGACAAAATCCCTCCTGAGATGCGTGCAAACCTGGTGGCCAACTACAAGAAACGTCTGACCTCTGTGATTGCCAAGGGTTTTGCACCAAGTACTAAGTCATGTTTTGCAGAGGGGTCAAATACTTATTTCCCTCATTAAAATGCAAATCAATTCATAACATTTTTGACATGCGTTTTTCTGGATTTTGTTGTTGTTATTCTGTCTCTCACTGTTCAAATTTACCTACCATTAAAATTATAGATTGATCATTTCTTTGTCAGTAGACAAACGTACAAAATCAGCAGGGGATCATATACTTTTTTCCCTCACTGTATGTGTTTGAGCAACTGCAACTGTGGAGAAGTCCAAACCATCATGCACATCACTGATGAATGCTCCATCCATGAAAATTCTGGTGGTATCACTGAAATCCACACTGCATCAACCACATCAGTGGACTGGATGAGGAACCTTTGCATTCATTTATGACGATCATTAAGATAAATGAAAACTGTTGCTTTTCACAATGCCATACGAAAGAAGAAGAAGAAGCATGGATCAAGCGACTATACTTTAAATACATGTTTCTCCGTGTGAGAGCAGAATCATCAGATAATACATTGTTTAAATGCATGCATATACAGGCCACCATACTTCAATAGGGATTACCGTTGGTACAGCTATTTTAATACACACAATGGACTGGAAGCACAAGATAAAATGGATCACATAATGAGCATGCATAATGTACGTTGACTCATTAATCCTCCCCCCCCCCCAACTTTGTGCACGAGCGCAAAAGTGTGGTCACTACCTCTACGCCTCTATATAAAGAACGAAACAGGTGGACTTCTCCACAAATCTGGCTGTCACCTGATGAAGCTAGTTGTAATTACTGGCAAGATGTCGTACTCAGATTTTAAATGTTGTGGTTTGGCTCTCAAACACACCGGAATGCTGTACTAGTGACGAATTGGCATGTTCTGTTTACGTGACAACCCTTACTAGTTGGCTGTGTCGGGTGGTGGTGGGATTTAACGACACGTTAATATATTTACGCGATCTAACCCAAAAAAACCTCTATTATGGATGATATTGGTCGCGAAAGTGTACGTGTTAAACTAGAATATTTTGTACTCTTTGGTTCTTTCGGTAAAGTCACGTAGGTAGAAAAATAATAAATCACGACGTTTCGATCGCAGCACAAACAACCGTCATCAGGTGAGAAAAGAACTGTTGCAACAAGAGGTGATATACCATTTTTCCATGAACCCATCCAGATATATAAACACAGACACAATTTCAACCGAGAAGAGGGGTACAGACTGAGCAATCATTGGAAGGACGTTATTAACCAGTTTAGGTCATAACTGGCTGTGATGTCCCCTTCCTGCCCACCTATATTTGCAACTTTTCTCGACTCCCTGAGTCACATTCACACGCAGACACTTCTTAGCTCTGCCCCACCCCCTCTCTCTCTCCTCCTGCTGCCGATCCCTATGTGAATTTGCATCCCCACCTGCTCGCCCGTTATGGCAGCCCCTCCCCTCCCTCCCCCTCGGATTAGCTGACATTTGATAGCCTTCTGTTTGCTAGCCGCCGATCTCCCCCTTGTCTCACGCGCAGCAGCCGTTTATGACTCTTGGGCTATGCCCATTTCTACCCTTTAGAAGCAGCCTGCATCAGCAGCTTTCCTCCTACTTTTTATATCACCTCTTGTTGCAGCAGTTCTTTCTCACCTGATGACGGTTGCTTGTGTTGCGATCGAAACGTCGTGATTTAATATTTTTTCTACCCACGTGACTTTACCGAAAGAACCAAAGAGTATGGATTCCTGCAGTCACGAAAGCTTCAAATCAAGATTATAATATTTTGAATACGTGTCAATTTGTTCGAGCAGTAATTGAGCAGTAATCGATCTATGACACTTTGAATACTTGTGTTGATGTGTTCGAGCAGTAATCGAGCATGGTTCAAGCCATGACATTTCTAATACATGTTTCTGTGTTCCAGCAGTAACCGAACAGTGACCTATCTTTGGTTCTTCTTGGTTCTTTCGGTAAAGTCACGTGGAATGGAAATAAAATAATAAAAATAATACATAAGAAAATATTTTAAAATACTAAAAATAAAACATAATACAATAAAATATCTTATTATGTTTTATTTTTATTATTTTATTTCCATTCTACGTGACTTTACCGAAAGAACCAAAAGGATGAATCCCTGCAGTCACGAAAGCTTTAAATCGAAATTTATCTTTGGATCGTTAAAAATTAGTTAATTCCCGTTTAATCCAGCTTTTGGATAATACAAAATTGGTCGATTCCATTTCCAGTATTCCTTATATTACGTCGCACATTCATGATATCCTGTTACAGCGCACCATAGTTTCTGGTTTATAGTAATTGTTTCTAATTTTCCGTCTAGTTATTATTCTCCCAGCGCTTGGCATGAGTACCGTGGTGCAGGATGAGCAATGGAGACGCGGGGTCCCTTGTGTTGATGTGAAATTGAGAGATAAAGGTTGTACACACAGACACGAGACATGGAGAGCGACTTGGCATCCTTTAGTACGGTAACAAGGGTAGACATCTTATATAATTAATTAAACAAACAAGGAGAGGGCGAAGTCACGTAGGTGAAAATAAAATAACAAAAAAAATCTAATCACGACGTTTCGGCCACAACACAAGCGGCCTTCATCAGGTGAAGGGACGAGACTGTCTGGAGGACAGCGCTGGAGTGCGCTTGTGTTGTGGCCGAAACGTCGTGATTTTTTTTGTTATTTTATTTTCACCTACGTGACTTTACCCAATAGAACCAAAGAGTATGGATCCTAGCAGTCACGAAAGCTTTAAATCTAGAAAGGAGAGGGCGATCATTTTGGACCCAGGTTACACAACACTATATTTTCCACAAGGGCTATTATTTGTCGAACGTAGAATTGTCCAGGAACAAAACCCCCGCGTTTGGCGAGGTATGCCTGTACGGTACAATTTTAATTTTATATTCAGGTTTTAAATAATGCAAACACAAACGAAAATCCAGGTACGCCAGTATTGTATTTCTATGCTCCCCACATCTCTGCTCCCCATCTCTGCCAGCGCACACTGACCAGCATGAAGTATGGTCAAAATAATCCCCAACACGCACAGCGTGGGAATAGTCCTCGTCCAACAATGGATTCACAAAGGACTGGACATGCACATGACTGTACACGTCTGTTAATCATACAATTGCAAAGATTGTAGATGCATATTTAAACTGTGAATGGACAATACGTACATTTCTGACTAATTTATTTTATTAGAAGCAAAGAACCAACTAAAATATAAAAACACAGTTTTATTTCGTTATACTAAGGGTGACCTTTAACAATCTTATGACATGAATAGACATGTGGTGCCAAAAGCAAAACAAGCATAGATTTAATCATCAAATGCTTCGAAAATAAAAAGAAAACATTTACAAAATATGAAACAGTAACAGTAAGATAACATGTAAGTACCAAAATACACATTGAAATATAGATCAAATAAAGTGGGTTTATTATTTCACCGCCGATTAGCACGGTTTGGCTGCGTACGGTGCGAAAGAAGTTAAACACCCGTACGTACAAGGTGACATGCTTTTGTCCTACTTATTCGCGGACATATTAAACGGTATATTTTGAAATATTATATTCTCACTCCGCGTCACTCGTAGTAAGGAACACACATTCTTACCTTGACAATAGACAGAAAAAAATAAGAATAGGTTCAATGCTGCTCTAAAATGGGCCATACTACACATTCTGTGTCGACAAGAACGTCAGCTGAGCTATATGTATGGGGACCAGCTAAGGGAGTGGTTGTGTACACCAATGACGTAAATCTCGCCAGCAGTCATAACTTGCACAACTTGACTAGCTATTCTTACTTGCTGCTTCATAAATGAAATCATCATCGTGATTCCTAGTTAGTTTTTTTTATGGGTTGGATCATGAAAACTGTCACCTCCTTCGCCGTCAAATCTGTTGACCAACACAAACGAATAAAGCTACTCTGCCTCACGACTGCAGACTCTCACGGTGAATTCCATTTCCCCCGCCGCATGAGACAGCTGCCACGGCCGGGCATTGTTGGCACGAATGTTCTTTACCGCATCGGGGAATTTGCTAAATATTTTTGCACTCCCTTTGTCCAAATCCAACTCGTTGGGCCTTGTTGGGTCAAAGGGTCACCCTGGTGCCATATTCGTGGCGCACACGAAATCCGGCACAATCTTCTGCGGTGTTTAAAATGTGCAACCCTTTCCGAATGAGGCCTGAATAAAACGTTTGGGGGTTTTATTATCTGCTTATACACCCCTTTTATCGACTGGTAAAGTGGTTACTTCGTGTTTCACACTGAATTTCCCCCTTAGGGTCCCGCGTGATGTCGGATACAGCTGAGATGAAGTTATACAAGAGGCCACCCACTCGCCTACACAGCCCCTGTGCTGGGCTACTCATCTCAAATTAAAATTTCGTTTTAAAGCTTTCGTGACTGCAGGGATTCCTATTTTTGGTTCTTTCGGTAAAGTCACGTGACTTTACCGAAAGAACCAAGAATATAGCTCAAATTTAGTTAAGGGGCGCCACGGTGGTGTGATGGTATCTTCCTCGCCTGGTATGGGGCCGTCCATAAATGACGTCACGCGATTTTGGGCGATTTTTGACCCCCCCCCCTTCGTCACTCGGCGTCACAAAAAGTCAGACCCCCCCCTCAAATATGACGTCACAAAGCTCTGCCCCCCCCCCAAAAAAAAAAACATGCTTCGAATCGATTTTAACTATTGTCATTGTAGTGCGTATTTAATGTAGCGCTGCGCTCTGATGTTGTAGGAGAAAACATTTATTAAAAAGTATATTTAATTAAGTAGAACGTGTTGTCTATATTTATTTAAAGTTGGCATTTTTATGTGACGTCACATTTCTCAACCCCCCCCCCCCCCCCCCTCGTCACACATCGTCACAAATGTCTGACCCCCCCCCCTCTCCCAGGTACGTGACGTCATTTATGGACGGCCCCAATGCAGTAACGCGGGGGTTCGATCCCGATCCCGACCCTGACACTTGCTGTATATTTTGAGTTTGCGTCTCTCTCATCATCACTACAGTGGGCTAGGAGATGTTAACTACCTCGCCTGGTATGCAGGAGTGCGGGGGTTCGATCCCGACCCTGACACCTGCTGTATATTTGGAGTTTGCATGTTCTCCCCGTATGGATTTTTTCTACGGGTTCTCCGGTTTTTTCCTCCACATTTTTAAACGCACGTTTAGACTATTTAAATGATTTTTCTGCTGTAAATGTCCAAATTATAAGCCATTCTGTTGAGCTTTCATTTGTGACCAGGTCGGATTCCAAAAAACAAGTTAATATCTCAGTGGGCTTTGTCTGTTAGGCTGGGGATGGTTTAGTTTTATTTGTATGTGTTTGGGTGATTTGTTTATCTTGCTTGTACATTGCACTCCTATCGTGTTTTTGTATTTTTTGTTGTTGTAAGGTTCTTACACCGTGCCCCTACTGGACATCTGTGACAAAGAGCTTTATAGCTCATCGGATTCCTCCAGTATGAATAGATTTTCTGATTCTAAAATTGAGTTTGGAGCTGTCCGATGAGCCATCTGGATTTGCACGTAGCCCCCACTTAGTTCGTGCAATGTTTACTACGGTACTCTGTATGTTCGTTCGTGTTGTTTAACTGTGGTGGTCTCGCTGGTTTGTATTTACCCTCTGTACTTAAAAACAATCAAATTTGTGCTGTTTTTCTCTGTGGTGTGTGCGCCCGTTTGTGTTGTGTTTACTTCCATACCCAAGATCGTTACCGTCCCTTTATCGATGAAAACATCTGGTGTGCAATGTCCAGCATTTTGATATGTAGCTTACATGCATGACGCTGTCAAAAATTTATATAAATGTCAGATAGGGTGGGACAAGTACTTTAAACAGCATCTCCCTGAGGCAATATTGACTGCATACCGACCCAACCTTAAATGAATGTTGGTGAGTCATGGTACACACACAAAGTGCTTGCCACAAACGAACCACAGTACCTCACTGATCTCGTCAAGGATTATAAACCATCATCACGCAAACTCCGGTCATATTCGCAGCAGCAGCAGTGGCTTTTGGATATCGATCGAATAAAGACGGTCACTGCATCGCGCGCTTTCAGATGCTATATACACTACCCTATACACTACACGATACACTATGCAAAACACTACACACCACTATGATTCAACTTTTGGATAGCCTTCGAACAAAGACGGTCACCACATCGCGCACTTTAAGAACGCTCTTCCTTCCAATATTAGATAGCAACTGGAGCTATGTACTCTTAAATCATCTAGATTTACAAACTCATTTATTTGGAAATGCTGTTTGTATTAAGTTTGTTGTCCTTCCCCCGCACTTCCGATTTGCACAGTCGGCCACGTACGGTGCGAGAAAGGTTAAACATACGTAAATAAAGAATGCTCTTGATCTTGTCAGATCTCAAAAGCAATATGCAAATACATCATTAGACCTCCTTTGCCAGTACCAAAATATAATAATAGGGGTTTTCCCCTTTTTTTCTAGCAACAAAACTGAAACCTTTTTACAAGGATGCATGTCTGCATTAACCACAATACCTGCAGTCAAAATGCAAACAAAAAACATACTATGATAATATATGCATTGTCCTTGAAACTGATTGGTCCGCACTAAGGGACGGCTTTCCCCCGCGTCGAAGGCGGAAGGGGGGGGATTTTTAACCATATAGTACCACTCTGGTCACTGTTGGTTGTTGAAGGCGAGACACATAAAAGTACAACACAACAGTGGATGTTGCTGCACTTTAATGTACTCGGCTGGTCATCGCATAGTCCCACAGTTCATAACGCGTTCTATGCCGCTTATGGTCACCCATGTACGAGCACTAGCCAGGCTCAAACCTTAGCTTCCGCAATCTGACACACTTTAAATGCGATTTGTTCAGATAATTAATTATTAATTCGTGATTAATGAATCCTCTAACCACCTCCGATTAGCGCGGTTGGCTACGTACGGCGCAAAAGAGGTTCAACGTGCACACATTAAATCTGCGATCATACGGCTCGCAGGCCCAACGGAATCTACACTACGGCTACTTCACACCTTTCTACACTTCTTGGGATGTCCGTGGAAGATTTTCGTGTTCGCATCAAAAACGTCCGTTTACCACGACCGGTGTAACATCTGGAACGCCGCGCTCAAGTGTTCTAAGACGATTGTCAGGGGCGATGGCACAAGTATTTTAAAAGGGACTCCCCCCGTGTTCGTAACCTGGCATCTCAGCCACTTTGGCCCTTGGGCTTCAGTGCAGGTGCACTGCTGTCGGCTACATCACTCGCTGTCAGATTAAATGGAACGTCCGTCCCCACCCCCCTCAGTAGGAGTGGGCGACCATTTGGCCTCGAACTTCCCGTTCCCTGCCCTTGAGCTTTTGCCTTAGATGCTCTCGGTTCTCTCGAGGGCTAGGGAAGGTTATTATGCCACCGCTTCCAGCAGGGAGGTTCATTGATTTTTCACCAGCATGGTCTTCCGAGCAGTGACATATCAACACATTTGAAGTGGTTCTACAACCTGCAGTGTAATTTGTTTTGAATTTAAGATATATTTGATCGATAGCATCCTCGCATCATTTTATTAAATAAAGTAGACCAGTTTCAACATGACGAGATTCAGAAATTATAGCAAGGACCCCCCCCCCCCCCCCCCCCGAAAGGTGTTTTGATGCCTGGGGCAAAATATCAGACGAGGCCATTTCTCTCCCCCAGCAAGTTGGCTGTCATGCTGCATTTACTTTGTGAGTTTCGTAACGACTGAAGACTGAAGAGGCGTACAAAACAGATCAGGGTCATGGGTCCCCTTTATTTGTCTGCAACTTCGAATGCCACCGATTGCCTGGTGTTTTGGCATTTTTCTTAATAAGAAATCTAGAGCATTCTCTGGCAGCCCTTTCGTTTAGAAGGCAGCGATTCCTATTACTTCGTTATTAAAACGTTATTAAACCAACAAGGATATAATTTGTCTGTTTGCATTGCAATGCAATAATCACCTAGAATATGTTTTAATGAATCTGTAACTTTATTGTTACATGGATGTTTTAAGAAACACTTGTTATCTTGTATTTGTTTTTACACAGCACGATAGTCACTCGTGTCATTGTGAAGAATGTAACAATACATCAGCAGAAAATATTCTTCCTTATATCTGTGTCCCCACATGAATATAAAACAATATTTTTGCCACACAGCCTTCTGGAGATTTTTTATATTTACCACAACGACGTGAATGTGATTTTATCGTGGGTGTTTTTTCCTATAAGCGCTCACTCGCACAACTGGTATTGAATGTGCTCGAACAGCAGCAAATATGTATACGGACTATACACTATTTTTTTTATTTTACTAGGTAAGGCTCACTGGGCTATGCAGCTCTTTTTCAGAAGCGACCTGGCTATCACAAATGATAGCTCAACGAAGTGGCTTATCATGTGGAAATGTATACCAGCCAATACTCTGATCACATGATTCTAAATGTGGAGAGAAAACCCAGAGGAATGGGTTTTCTCTCCACATATCAGATGAGGCTTTCGCGACCAATATTATCCATGAGAAAGTTTTTTTTTGGGTTAGATTGTGTCAAATGTAAATGTGTCATGAACTCACCACTACCCGGCACAGCCAATTCGTAAGGTTTGTCACTTAAACTAAATGTACCAATTAGTTACTAGTTCAGTACACTGGTGTGTTTTAGAGTAAAACTACAACATTTATAATTTTGAGTACGACGTTTCGCTGTTGATTACAACCAGCTTTATCAGGCGATTTGCCATAATTGTGAAGAAGTCTTCCTGTTTCGGTCTTAAGAGTAAGACCAAAATAGGAAGACACAATTCTGGCAAATCGCCTGATGAATTTGGTTGTAATCACCAGCACAACTTCTTCAACTCAAATCGTAAATATCGTGGATTTCCTCTCCAACACGCAACCGGTGTGTTGAAGTAGTAACTAATTGGCACTTTGTTGTTTACGTTACAAACCTTACTAATTGGCTGTGTTGGGTGGTGGTGGGTTAACGACACATTTATATTCAAGCGAGGGAGTTAACATCTCGCTACTGTTGAGCCCTGTATGGACAAGGGATTACTATACATGTGTAGTGTTGTAGATTTGAGGCAGACGGCTTAGGGGCTATACATAAATTACGTCACGCACCAGGAGGGGGGGTGGTTAGACATTTGTGACGATGTGTGACGTGGGGGGGGGGGGGTGAGAAATGTGACGTCACATCAAAATGCGCAACTTTAAATAAATATAGACAACACGTTCTACTTAATAAAATAGACTTTTCAATACATGTTTTCTCCTACAACGTCATAGTGCAGCGGCACATTAAATACGCACTACAAT